GGGGGGGGGGTGCCATCTAACGGGGGAGGGATCCAAAGGGGTTAAACAGAGCCCATCCTGACGATGCTGCAGTGTGTAGAGGCCAGTTTTGGTTTCCCAGAGTTCATTTTGAAGTCCCGGTCATAAGGTGAGACACCCATCAGTCTCAAAGAGGTCGGGAGGTCAAACTTTCGTGTATGGCATGGAGCAGGATGTGGACCAGGTTAGGTTAGCGATCGCTTAAATCAGCAAAGCATTAGCAGGAAGTTACTGTCAAACAAGAAGCATAATAGGACAGGAGAAGTAGAATAGGCTACTTTAAACGAGAATCACTATTCTCAAAAAAAAATTTAAAAATCACAATGGTTTACTTTTACACTGTTTAGACAAGATATTTTGTGGGGACAGTGACTTCATCGTGTGAAATCACGCACTTTTAAACATAGTTAGGCCAAAATCTTGTAAGGTTTTAATGACATTGTGCTTACATGGGACTGTAAAAATGAACATTTCAGGTGTTCTCATCGTCTTTCATAAACGACTTTCAATCCATGAAATTAGGGTGTAATTTTATCCAGTCGTTCAGAATGTATATTTTTACCTAGGCATATGTTTAAGGAGAATCAGTAAAGGCTTATTCACTGCCTTTGATATTTCTACCTTTGATCCAAAATACACTTGAATGCGCTGTAGTCATAAAACAGAACCGGAGGTTCGTGTGTCTTTTTATTAAACGGACGAAATATCCAAAGGTGTGAAGCAGACAGCAGCAGGATTATAAAAGTTTATAAAAATGGATTATAAAATGCGTTACAGAGCTCTAAACAAGGATGTATTCATCTTTAAATCCCAATATGACTAACGCTGTCATTCCATATCAAGTGTCATTTTCATATAAAACGTAACGATTGCTTGCAGATTTTAAAAAATGAATTTCTTCTACCCATCTCTTGGCGTCCACATGAGCCATTCCCTTGAGTACTGATGCATTAGAACGACATTCAAAAATCAGGGTTATTATATAAACGCAGGTAGTCCATTTTTTATACAATTACACAGAAGATGCAGTAACAAAGTAACAAAGAACTGCATTTCTGCCATACCATACGCAGCAACGCAATCTATAAACCACGGGAACACTTTTCACCATTTAACGTTCAAATATAAATGTTCAGGAAAATATATCTTCGGCGAGTTCCGCAAAAAAATAAATAAATACAAATATGTATGTCGGTAACTACAGTATATCTGACCGTAAACGTGCGAAAATCGGTCAAACATATTCCTCCTCAAAAAGTCCTAATACGACACAAAATGATTTTTGTACTTTATCAATAGCCAAAAAATAAGGTTACAGCTCAATGCAAACAGCTCAACACACTGCTGAAAGACCGCTAATAGCGCTCATGTAACATGCTCTGGGGTACCGACCTCCCCACCTGTCACCTAACCAAACAGTAATAATTATTAACAACGAGTTAGACACATTCCGCCTTGGTTGGAAACAGGCTGTTTGCCGTTTATTGGGTTGCTGAGTCCATAACAATTAAATATGCGCGTTATCACGAATAAATACATCTTAAACTTCACATGACGTCACCGCCTCCTCTCGAAACATTTCATAACTTTTAGTCTTTACTACCATTCATTTCGTGTAAAGTGGTGGCGGTGGTGATAGTAGTGTGTGTGAGAGAGAAACGGGGGAGGGGGGGTAAAAAAAAAAAAAGATCAGTGATTTTTAAATTACCCAAGATGGCGAGAGCCTTGTTGTTTAGAGGGCAGAGGGAAAAAATGGAGGATATTGTAATATACACAAAGGGATAAATTTCAACAACTCAGCCGGGCAGCAGCTGCTTCTCTTTATAGCCAAGGAAGCAACAAAAGACAGGAGAAGGGAAAGCCTGCGATCGCGGACTGCCCTCTAAACGAGTGTGATTTCCCCCAAGAAACGCCAAAAAATGTGTTTAAAGCCCATCCAGCGTCCAAAAGCCATGTGCCAAAATGCGAAACGTACAAATTTGTTAATTAGTAATGTTGTTTGTTTTAGTGGAGATCTGTTACATTACCCCCCCCCCCCCCCATCATCTCTTGGACAGACATATTAACAGACCAAAGGTACTCTCTACCTTCCATAGACTCCCATGGCGTTTAAAATAGATTTAAAAACTAAATACAAAACATCTGAAACATGCAGACAGACAAACCGCGGAGACGGCGACATATATCCGGTACCTATATATTCAAAAATATTTTTGTTTTATTTTTAAAAGAGAAACAGTCCAACCGCAAGAGTGAGGGCACAAAAGACGAGCGATTTCGTCGCTATTGACTCTCGTAAACCCAAGTCGCCACCAGTGCGACCAAAAAAGCAACAAGCGCCGGTGCCTAGATATATTTTAAAAAGAAAAAGTTTTTTAAATGCCCGTCTTTCTCTCGTTAAAAAAGTAACACCCGGCGAGTCGCTTTATTTTTTTTATTTCAGCGATCGACCGGTTTGTCCGAGCAAGTTTGAATCAACCTGCGCTTTTACATTGCGAGGAGAGGAAAGCACACGGACAAGACACCCAACGAAAAGAAACACACATATGCAGCGATCAAACCCCAGCGAAATTAAACGAGCCCCCATCCGCGGCACCCAACAGCCACCTTACATAAAACAACGATCATAATAAACTGATTAAAACTTACAGTAGTTTTTTTTTTGCGCTGTTCGATGGGTCTCCGGCCGCGACTCGGCTTATTTCAAGTATTTATTTCAAGTAACGCGAAACGTTTCGCTTCCTTCTCCGATCGCGTTAGTGGAGGCCGGCAGCCAGAGATAAAGAAGGGAATTGGGCAGTAATTGAGTCTCGGTGAGAGTGAGTGAGTGAGTGCGTGTGCGTGCGTGCGTGCGTGCCAGAGAGTGTGAGTGTGTGTATGCGTGTGTGTCTGTGTGTGCATGTGTTAGTGTCTGTATGTAATGTATGAGTGTGTCAGCCACTAACAGCAAATTGACGGAGACTTTCATCTCACGGTTTTTTCGGCTTCTAGCCCCAAGTGACGTCAGCCTGCGAGCTCTTTAACGGCAAAAAAAACTTATATTCCGTAATAACGCCAGGCGACAGTGGAGAATGACAAATAAGAGCCACTGATCAATACCAGCCTGGGCTGTTTCGTGCATCCCACCAGCATCACCACCACGTTGTTCACAAAAAATATACCGACATTCAACCAGTATATCATTCATAGTCAAAGGTAACTTCTGAAAAATATGCATGCTCTATATATAGTGTACATGTGGATGAAAGAAAAATAATATTAATTACATGTGGGTGGATATTGTCAACTATTCTAAATATGAATTAATAATTACATTTATCATATAATATGTTAGAGTGAGGTTTATTGTTACATTTAAAATTAAGGTCATTGTCTCATTAATGTGATATTCCAGGACTAAGTATGCACCTGAATTAAAATAAATTACTTTGTGACATATACACATAGGCTACCTAAACACAAGGTATTTTAATGTATGTGAGTGTATTTTGTTCTGAATATATATATATAGAGAGAGAAGTATATCAAACGAATAAGCAAATGTTTATCGTTAAATGTTTCAGCATAAAACACATGCTTGACATGCCAGTGAAGATTAGTATCTAACCACGAACAGTGTCATCACCCAAGAATACAATGAGACATGCTATGGCAAAGCAAATGTGGAAGTGAGACAAAGACATATAACAGAAGGCTTAACACTTAGGGATCATTAGAGAAATTTTGTCTATGCAGCCACGGTTTAGAAAAAAATAAAGAAATGGGGAAAAAAAAACAGAAATCCAATGAAATTTAAACTAAATGATTTGTAAACTATAGCAGTCTATGAGACTTTAAGAAGTTCTCAGTTCTCTGTTACGTAAGTGCTAGCTTGTAACACCTTGGCATAGACTGCCATCTGTACCTAACTGTGTGTGTATCTCTCTCTCTCTCTCTCCCTCTCTCTCTCTCTCTCTCAGCAACAGGCTGAACGGGGACCTTGTGACCCAGTTTGACTTGAGACAAGGGGGTTAAGATTATCCCATTCTGCGATAAACAGTTCAACATTACAGGAGCTGTACAGTAAAGGATGTACTATACTATCGTGTCATATCATAAAAAACAAACTGTCAACAGAATAATTTGGTATGCTCTTGGGAGAAAATCATATTCAGTTTTTTATACAGCCTACATTTGAGAAAAATCAGATTTGCTTCAGAAGACTAGTGTATTAATAACCCGCTATAGCCAACATAATTACATTAGCATGTCGCTTCCACGCTAAATGTTTGTTAACGTGATGCTTTCAGTTTTAAACCTAAAATCAAAAGCCATGCTATGTAGGCTTTCAAACATGCGGAAACATCGGAAATTCTACTTTAATTACCTCAAAGTTCAAGGGAACAGCTCTGTAATTGTACCTTTGTTGATTGTAATAAACTATCCCTTTTCCAAATTAAATTGCATATACACCAGGCGTAATTGGATACAGCAGTGTTTAGAAATAGAACCGTTCCTAAATGAAATAGGGGCAAACCTTATTCAGCTATAGGTATTTTAAACAGGGCAGTGTGCTTGTGCGTTCATCGATTTCTTCCCTCTCCTATTCTCCTCCGATCTGCTTTGGATCTGGACAAAACGACGCCTCGACGCAAAATGGCAGGAGAGGACAAACAATTTGATGCGTCTGTCACACGCTGCGAGTTGGTTTTTTTTTTTTAATCGTCCAGCGGAACTTCGTTAATAACAACCGGCGAGAAATTGCTCAAAGCCGCTTCATTAAAGAACATTTCTGCGCTTTGGGTCCTTTTCCCCGGGATGAGAACGTCAGCCTTAGCTCGGTCATTTGTAACATAATAAGTGTAAGTACAATGCCTGCAATGAAAGCACGTTGGGGGAAGGGTAAAGCAGTCTGTCTCTTTTAAAGGGATTTTTAAAGAGTCTTGATTAGAAAGTATAATGAGCTACCAAAAGAACTAGTAAAGATGATCCCTCCTGAGACTGATGGAAAACAAATTAATGTGGTGATTTGGTTTTAATTATTATTTTTCTATTAGTTTCGTGGCGAGCCCAGGATACCCATCACGCTGCGGAGCTGTGCTTGCAATTATTGATTTTTGCCCGACACATTCAGGGAATACAGATTTTAATCATCTCAATACACCACACTCTGTAATTCCATTAAAAACAAGAACCTTCCAGCGCCACAAAAGCATTTAATTTCAATGACACAAATTTTCTCGGAGCTGCAGACGGTGCTTCGCCGGTGAAAGTGGCCTAAGGTTTTAACACGTAATTGAATTTGGGCTCCTTCATGGTATGTCTCTCTCAAAAGCTTTAAGTAAGAAGCTAATAACTGCAATAAAGACAATCGTCTCCTAATATTACGTCATTAACGTGCACTGAATTAAAAACTAATTAAGCCGAGTGCTTGTTTTAGTGTTTTAAATAACATTCAGATTTACACACAATCATATTATTAGAAAACGGGAAGGTCAGAATATATTATTGTCACACTTTACAATTTATTTCCATTCAGATGCTATGTGGGATATATTTTATATGGAAAATACAAACGGCATTTCTTCCAAATTGGAACTGAAAGTTCACCATTCACATAGTTTATCAATATCGCTATTTGTATTTATTAATAAAAATGCGGCCTAAATAATTCCATAAATCAATTAATAATCCAAAAGGAAATAAACAGGCCGCGATCTTTATTTAGGATCAAAGTTGGATCGTTAGGGCCTCGAATAGATCCGTTCTTGCCTCAAAAGCCCAGTATTTTAGCGGTTTGTATTGCGCATCAGAGCGCTATGCGCCAAGGCTTGATGCAGAAACGCGGAGCGCATAGCGGGATGCTGCGGATGTCTTCATCCGGTGGGATGGAATCTTTAACAAACCTTTCTTGATTGTTGATGAGCCTTGATATGCTCTGTTAAATACTGTGCATCATGAGAATCGCATTACCATATTTAACGGTGACAATGAAATACATGGCGAAGATAAACATTAACGTGCAATATTGTATCTTTCCAAGCCCAATGTAAGACAGTAGTCAAGCTTTACCGCCGGCGCCCCCTGTCTGAGACAAAGTGAATGGAGTTTGCTAAGTGGGCGCCCCCTCAGAAGACGGTGCCCAGGGCGGTGCCTTTGTTACCTAATGGGTTGCCCGGCATTGACTAGAATCATTATAGCAATTTTCAAGGACATAAATTCTTAGAGTATTGGAGCATGACGTTTGTAAGCTCTGCATGTAAAACAACATTTCTCATGAAAACACTGCAGTAATTTTGCTGCTATAGCTGAGGCGCAGGTATATTCTGCTCCTCTGTGGTGCCCTCTGAGATGTACATGTTCTTTTCAACAGCAACTCGGCTTAACACGACAGTACACAATACAACTATCGATCAATATTACAAAAGCACCAAGCAAGAGACTTGCAACCATGTAACGGCCCCCAACACGCGACCACCTGTAAATATTTCAGATGTTCTCCCAAATTCCACTCCCAAGAGCTACCTGGACACAGGCACCCTGGGAATTAACTGAAAATGAAGGATGTTTTATATTACCCAACACGCACGCCCCTACAACCCCCCCCCCATTCACAGCTCAAAATAATTCACAGTCGACTGATCTGCGTGTGTTATGGGTGTTTTTAGTTATCCTGACACTTCAGTCATCTGTCATGCTGCCTGACGGCGGATGCTGTACAGGACCCGGAGGTCGTATGAGGAATTGGGGATTAATGTGGAGAAGCACAAAAATACGACAGCGTAGGTGTGAGGACAAGCTGGTGCCAGAGAGGCGGTGACTCACTGGAGCCAGGGACAAATACACAGACAGAGAATCGACACGGTGCTCAAGAAGCAGAACTGAAAGCACCCAGACAAACATAAGACTCCCACAATGCATTTCTCTGCGGATTAGATCTTCAAATACCACTGCAGAATCAAATTCATCTATAATGTGTAACACAGGTTTTCTACTGCACTTCTAACTTACTAATTTTTTGCCTTAGGGAATATGCATCTTTCCTTTCATATCACTTAAGCGGCACAGAAATTCCGTGAGCATGGAGCCTATTCCAGGAAGCACAGGGCATTAGGACACATTATTATTATTATACATCTGTCTATCTTTCATAAGCACTTACCCAGTACAGGGTCTTAGTGAGCCTGGGGCTTATCCCCAGAAGCACAGGGCCACGGTGAGGGGGACACCACTGATGGGACACCAGTCGGTCACAGCCAACACAGTCACGCACTAAGCTGGACTTAGAAGCGGAATTTCAGCAGTTTAAAATGTTAGTAATGATTTGATAATACTGACATGAATACTGACCAAATACTAAATGTCACTGATACAATCAAATAACAATTAAATACCTCTTAAGTTGTTTAGCATACAGGCACACAAATGAACAGAATATGTAACCAGATAAATTCTGGTTATGTATTTTACTCAAAGGTAAAACTGGGGCTTGAACCAAGAACTGTTGGTTTAACCACATTGCCTGATACTCAGTCCTTTAAGTATTATGTTGACCACCTTGATCCTATACTGTGTACTTGAAAGATGGATGGATGCAAGGGCTTAACTTTGGGTTGA